TTAATTTAACCACTGTACTACATACACTCAAGCAGCCTCTGTTTGAATAATAAAAATAAAATGGTTGCCATCTGCCCTTTTCAAATAAAAAAACAAGGTTCACTAGTCTTATTTGAGGATTTTTTTTTATAAAAACCTTCTCCCAAATTAATAGCGATTCCCAATTTCTTGATATTTTACAATTATTTTTCTACAGTTAGGCATATTTGTTATCAACATTTCTGTTTATCAGGATAATTTGCTTTTATAGCGTATATTCATCTCATTCACGTGAGCATATGGCAAATTACTTGTAAACGTTTGAGTCACAACAACAAGGTAAACCATTCTTTAATTAATGATTTTTGAAAAATCACAACACACTTACACAAGAAAACATCTGCGTCATCAGAAATGAATGAGTCTGTATAATGCTACTTGTTTTTTTGTTTGGTTAAGGATGTATGACATGGTTGTATGTTGTGTATGAGTACAGATAAATTGTATTATAAAGACTGAACAAAGAAAATATACGTAGTTTTAACATTGACAGTAATTAATAATTAGGTAAACATGACACACTGATGTGTCTATATATATACAAAACATACCAGTCATCGTATTATAAAACAGATGTTGTTTTTCTGATGCGACGTAGTTATAAGGGAAAATCCACGACACAGCCGGGGAAGACATCTCCTAGCACGGAACTGATATATCGTTACAAACGTAGTGTTATTTCTGTTGTAATCATCAAGAAAGTTTCCTAACATAATTCACTATAACGCTGTTACTAAAATACAAGCCATCCTCGCCAGAACAGATATTTCATCTCATTATTTACCATTTAAAACGGTGCTTATCGATCATTCATCTCGTTGGTTACCAGGTGATGTCCTTGTCAGTACAATAAAGTCACGTCCTATACACTGGTGCACACTGAACAATGGGATTGATTTTTTAGTTATTATTAAGTATCAATTAATGACAAGGAAAATTAGTAAATTGGCAACATTTTATTAAGTATTTTGCAGTATTCTACTGACGAAAATCCAACGTTGTTTTGTACAGATTGTGGTTATGCTTTTTCAAAAGAGCCGACTCAAACAAAGACAATTAGTTAACCCGAACAAATATCCTCCATCCTCCTCTGTAAGTATGATTGGAATTAGCGTTGCTCAATAACGTGAAAAGGTTATGAAGATCTCTTTGGAAAAGAGAGACATACCGTTATTTACGATGTGAAGAGCAAATGACTATCCTTTCATTACATTATGACTTAATGTCGTAGAGATTAGTTATATGTATATATATATATGTTTATGGCTATTCAAAATTTGATGAAATTCATATATCTTTGTAAGGTATAACAAGCTTTACAAATATCATTTTAAACAAACATTGCTGCGAGCCTTACATACGGAACTTAGTTATCGCGTTATTGAATCGCAGACTATGTTCTTTTTCAGAAATATTCACGACAAATAAAAAGAAAATATAAAATGTATTAACAAAAGTGTCTATCATCAATGAAGAGTAGAGATGGGAAATTATTTGAAATTAATTCCCGAGTCTAAGCTTACCAGTGCGCCGAGATGAAACCTCGCTTTAGATGACATAAACAACTTTTTTTGCCGTTACTCGAATCTGATATATACGTATTGTACAAAAGCACGTATATCACCTGTTTTATGTACATGAAAAATGCATCATTTTTTATGTGATGTTATGAGGATTTCTGTATGTGTTTCCGTGTTTAAGTTAGATTCAGTTCAATACAATCGACCTTCATTAATTTATCGAAAATTATTTCGTCTTTTAAGCAAACGTTTGTTGCCATCGTCGTGTATTATTACATATGTTTTCACTATGATATATAGGTTATCCAAGTTAACATCGAGGCATCGTCGTGATTGTTTCAAATCAATGGAGTTTGTTGTCGCTAAACAAACTGAAATGATATGGTAAACTTATTGGTCACAAGGGGAATTACTCTTGGTCGCATATATTTTATAGAACACCTGGAATGATCGATATTAATGTAAAAATGGTGTCCAGCATTAGAACATTCAGAAACATTAAAGGATGTTTGCCATTTTTTTATTGCACACTCCTTTGCAGAATACTGTTTTTGCGTAATTCATTTATTGTTTTGTCTCTTTATTTTTATGTCTGTGTTTCTTTACTCTATTTTGTTTTAGTAACTGAGTTGCTGAATGTAAAATAGTAACGTAAAGATTTACAATTTTGCAGCAAATAATATTTATTTATTTATTTAAAATGACAATAAATGGAGAAATCATAATTATCATGTAATCTTAAGTTGTGGTAGAATTACATGCTGATTCTATATTTCTACCCAAACCACAATTTATCGCATTAGTCCTGGCCCGTTAGATCTTAAAACTTCTATGAGTTGTAAAACATTCTGTTTATGATCTAGAACATGGAAGTAACACTCTAACGCTATTTCTTTGGCCATCTCTGAAAATTGACATCATCAAATATGCTTTGGGCCGCAATCTCTCGTTGTGATGTCATAATTAATGGCAATAGTGCTCCCAAACGGAAACAGAAATAATTTGTTTATTCAAGAACCGATCAGGAAGAAAAAGGACCCCTCACTCGTGAACGGTTGATCATCATGTTTATCTATATTTCAGTCATTTCATTTCAGCAAATGTTATTCATGCTGGTGTATGGATGGGATCGAACAACAGGCTATGCGCCTATTTCAGTTCTTTTCTGCATGCATTTGTATGAAGCAGTATATATATATTATAATTTATAGTGAAACGAAAAATTGAAAAACAGATGCAACTTATACACTAAACATATATCAATTTGCAGGTCAATGATATAGAAGAGATAACTCAAATTGCTTATAAAAAGTACAGGTCAAACAGTACTGTAGCTTGACCTCACCAGGGTCATGAGTGAATATTAACTATCTTCTTTCACTAGATTCTTCCTGGCAAGATCCACACAGAGTGACGTGTAGATAGTTAAATATTAAGCTAACGTTATAAACATTGGATATTATGAATAAGCTATGCCAATCTGGTATGGTATATTAACCTTCATATTATAACATGTTAAGAACATAGTTGTACAACTATTTGTTATTAATTACTAAGTACATAAGTCATATATTTCATTTGTTTCTGGAGACGATTACACAAAACTTACAGCTGATATAAATACAATACATAACATTGAACATTCCATAAGTAAAAATAGTAGCTCTAATAAATAGTGTTATCAAGTCTTAGACAATGAGCCAGACTTGTATAACGTAGCGATTATGCTGATGACAGACACAAATTTTTCAGTGATACTTGCGTTTTTCCAAATATATTGCTTATTCAGTGACCATAAAACAAATGCACAAGCTGTTTCAATAATTCTACTTTTCCTTTTGTATTTACACTTGGTACACCCTTGGACTCTGAAGTCGTACCATCGTTTTTGTGGGTCAATCCTTCATGCCTATTTGTAAGCGAATGACTTGCTTGTGCATGCGTCTGATCCTGTTTATGGATTGTTTCTCCCTTGGACTTTTCTAAAACATGTTTCTCTTTTTTCTCTTTTCTTCTTTGTTCTTCCTTGTGTCCAATTTCATATGTGTGTTAACATGCTCTTTATGGTGTCCAATCACATGCTGTTGTTTTTTTAAATGCTCTTGAAGGTGTCTAAGTCCATGTTTGTTTTTGTTGACATGCTCTTGAAGGTGTCTAAGTCCACGTTTGTTTTTGTTGAATTGCTCTTGAAGGTGTCTAAGTCCATGTTTGTTTTTGTTGACATGCTCTTGAAGGTGTCTAAGCCCATGTTTGTTTTTTTACATGCTCTTGAAGGTGTCCACGTCCATGTTTGTTTTTGTTGACATGCTTTCGGTGGTGTCCTACAACATGATTGTTTTTGCTGACATGCTCTCGAAGACGTTGCAGTGTATTAGCGTTAATCTGTTGATTTTCTCGTTGTTGAAAATGCTTATAAATCAACTGTAGATTGTCCATATGTCCCTTCGCTCGATGTTTCCGACTCGTTCTTGTAGTTATAGCCTTTGTCTGTGTATGACCCTTCTTGAGCAGTTGAAGTATTTTATGTATTGTATTCGTCTGTTGCTGATTCCGAGATAGCTGATTGAAACGATTGTCCGCCTTGCGGTTGTATTGGTGGACTAGTTGATAAAGGAGAGTTGTTGGAGAACTTTTCTTTGTGTGAACAGGACCGTGAGGAGAACCTGTAAAACATATAACAAATCTCAAAAGTATTGCTCCATGCAAATTTAAATAACAAAATAATGGTATTTGTTAATTATATTTCACTCTACCACGTCTGTGATGTAACGACGGTTTGCATTGGTTATAAAGAGTGCATTATTGAGCGAAATATTGGCGCGACATTGATCAAGTTAAAACGAAGCAACACGATCACGTGAGAAATCTTGCACGCGCAAAAGAACAGCGTCTTATTTGCATTTTGAATTATCTAGGTCATGTCGCCTTATAAGACAGCAACACTTTACAATTAGTTACATTTGACGTGGTAGAATAAACATAATCAACTTATGTGCGTGCACATGTTGATTATTTCTTAAATATGCTAGTACGTGTTCAGAATAGTATAATTCCAACAAGGTATTTTTTACAATTATAGCTGATTTTGTCTTGAACCCCTTAAACATGATATACTTACGAGTAACTTTCCGTTTTAGTAGAAAGTCAGCAATCAAAAGAAGCGTCTTTTGAAATTGGTTATTCCTTAGTAAAACATCGTAAGCAATTTGCTTAGAGCGGTCATACGTTGTTGTTGGTGGTGAAGTTGCCTTATAACCGACTACTTTAGTACTCTTCGGACTTGTCGTCATCATATACGGTGCTTGATATATTGTTATGTGTTTATATGCCGTAGGTTCAGGTTTAGTTGTAGTAGGTGTTGTAGTAATGCCTTTCACTGTTTTAGACATTTCAGTAGTAGCATAGGCTGTGACGTCAGTGTTTTTTTCGGTCGTGGTTGGTTTAGAAGTTGGTATCGTGGTTGTTGCCGTAGTTGGTTCTGTAGATGGTGTCGTAGTGAACATTGTCGTTGTTCTGGGCGTTGTCATGGTAACAGGGGTTGTTTCAGGTTTCCAGTATCCAGACCGTGAAGGGTATTGATACACTGGAGGGTCAATATTTACTTTCATTGCAACTTTAAACCATGTTGACAGGGAATCCCCTACCTCGTCAGCAGACACCGGAGATGTTGCATATTTAGCTGACGTTTGTTCTTCATTTCCCTTAGATTGTATGTAATCTATTGGACCCGTGTTTGATGGCTGACGTGTGTGTTGTCCATCTGCACCGGACCTACTGTCTCTGTGACTTCTGAGAGAAGGAAAATGGAATGTAAATATAAGTGAAAGACACTTGAATATTTTTGTGAGCAAAATGCAATTGACTTGCATCCAATTTAAAAACACAAATTGTTTCATATTAAAGGTCTTACATATCTATACATCGAGTTCATGATTGTTTATGTAGACTTTAATTATTTGACAACAATTATGAAACAGGTTTTTAAAACCTAAAGTACTCATTCTTGTTGGCCCGGATGTTAGCGCGCGGGAGTCTTAATGTTAGGGGAACTTAGAGAACCCAGGGAAAACCTACGTGGTCGGGCAGGTGATCCCATACCTTTTCACATCCGATCGGGGACGATTGTTTATGAAACAACTGGTATTAAAAAACCAATCACATGATTATTTTCTTAATCTCCATGTTAGATAATCCGGACATATATAGTACTAACTATTATTAAGCCTACGCTGAATCTGTGTGATACTTATCTGGTCCATTTAATGATATGAGTTGAATATAATAAAAGAAGCTACTGTTTTTCTGATGTCTCTTACGTGTGATCTGAGTTGAAGTCGGATACATCAATAGAGTTGGGGTCGGACATATCAATAGCGCAAATCACCTGTACTGTCTTATCGCTAGCTGTCTGCGCATACGACCTTTGTTGTACAATCACACGAAACATTTTACTCTGTAACAGTCATGAAAACAAATACAGAAAAGTTGATAAAAAATGTCTACAAATCCAAGGGAAATATATGTATTAGTACCAAAATATTTTTCTTCTTAATATTTCTATCTATTTATTGTAACTACTTTCTTTTATTTATTTATTTATCTATTTATTTCTTCTTCTTTTTTTATCAAATTCATTCTTTTAAGATCATGACTAGATATTTAACATTACATTTGATAAATTCACTCCCTTTTTAACAAATCTATTTTCCAGACAGTACAGCCTTAAAGTCACGGTTGCAAGTAGTCAAAACCGTCTTAAACCGTAATATGATGCATACTAAAGAATGAAAAAAGGTATGGGTAGCCATTTTAACAGTTAATGTAATAGAAATAATACAACAGCTCTCATTTACCAAATCTACTTTGCAGGTGTCAAATCGAAAGGCATAATCATGTAAACTTTCCGAAGTTCTATGTTTACATCCGGGTCCCTTTCCTAATATATAGAGTATGCCTCCTTCCGTAGCGTTTTTCATGTGGACGACGAGCTTGTTTCTGTTACATTTTCTTACTGTCACTGAAACAAATTGAAAAATAATAAATCAAAACTGATATCAAATTAGATATTAGACAATGAAAACCGATGATAACTTATTTACTACTGTTACAATGGACATTAAGCCAAATGTGCCCACTACATAGATTTGTCCATTATAATCTCAAATAAAACATTATTCAATGGGACTTATGCAACATCAACATGTCGCTTCGGTTTGAACTGTGACATGGTGAGATCTGTACCTCACCGCTTGGTGATTTGGCGTCGTAAGTAACGTTGGAAGGCTTTGGAAGGGTTTCGGCCACGTTGTGGAATAGCTTACAATCACCCTTCACGAAGTCAAGAACCCTGACCATATTCAAGAAGGATTAAAAGACCCATCTGTTCTCGTCTGTATTTAAGGCTCCTAGTACAGATGTCATTAAGAGACCTATCTTCATACACTGACACGCGAATGAAACGCAACCTCTTTAAATGTCCATAAATTTATAATATTGATCAGTTATTGTTAGCCGTGTTGCATAGCATCGTATCATACATATCCAACATCAGTTCACGATTGATTGAACTATATGACACTACGCAGTTCAACTTTTATCCTTTTCGTTCTCTCTAACGAGAGCCCATTTATCATTACAACGAAAATTACCAAAGAACACACCTTTTCTGGTTATAACATGTAAACGGCGAAATGACCATTGGTCAAAATATTGAGTAAAAAACGTCTGACTTGACGAAAATGTCCTTGGTAACAATACGTATCTGGACAAACGGAAGCAGTGTATGTACATTAAAAGCAAATTTTGACAAGATGGAGCGTTATGACATATACCATAACGGTAAACACAGCCAGCAGCAACTATGGACAAAATAAGCATAGCGTAAGAACTTGTCCTTTCATGAATAGACAACAAGTTCAACGAAGATACAACGAGGACGAAATGGGGCAAAATAAAGAAAGCCGGATTGGATTTCAACAAGTGAAAAGACAGTCTGGTGTTGATAAATAATGATATCCAGGTGATTAGCACGGATCATAAGCTATTTAGTGGGAGGTCAGTGTGCTTTACCTAACTTTGATTCATGTGCTAAGAAAAGTTTATCTTTCTCGTGTGATGTTAATTAATATTCATATTCAATGCAGAATATATTTTTTATATAATATACGATTTGAGTATATTAGACAATTCATCAGGTAGAAGATGTCAGCCAACTTTAAACACTAACATATGTAAAAAAAAATAAAGATGACACAGAGCGTTTTACATGTAGGTAAAAGGAAAAATAAGCATCGTCAGTATGATGTGTATTGCTTCTCTATATTCTAAATGTGAATTGTGTGCTTTATAATCTAGAAACTAGATATTGACAAGTTAATATCTTTATAACTGAAAATATTCATTTTATTGAACTGCATGGAAACAACGAATGCGTTACCAAGCTGAAACTAATGGAGAAAGGGAAATAACTCTTTCATAATAACGAAAAACTTATTTTGTCAATCTTATAAGTATGGGTGCCAATACAGGCTCTGGGTCCGAACAAGTAGCTGGTAATAGATCAAAACAGAAGCAATATCGCCAATAAAAACCAAATAGTGTATGCAACTTAAAAAAACGTTTCACATGTATAATTACAGATTTGTATGAGAACTTATATATATATATACATATGGTAAATACAGTCAACCATGTTTTCATCCTGGAAAGTATGATGGTTAATGTATTCGACCGTACAATTACGACAGGTAGTAAATGTCTCACACCTTGCAATCAACATACAATCAGGTATATGCTACGTTATGTTTATTTATTGGATAGATAATATAAAACAGGATTGACGTAGGAAAGGCTTTTTTTCTTACACATGCCCTGATCGGGCCTCGAACACATGACCTATGATCCTTATCATATTTTTGTCATAATCATTTAGAATACAGCACAATATCCCTTCGTGATACATGATGTATTTTGAGCACCCCTTAAGGCGCATCAAGTATATATCGGTATGATCAAAGCTTGATTTGGTAATTCCATTCATTGTTTCAATCTTACCTGCACATCGTTAAATAATAATTCGCATTAATTGTATTATAATCATATCTTATTATATAAACTACCGTATGCTATCATGTCTCAATGTTCAGTGTGCTACACTGATACACTTAAAATAACTTGATTTACAAAGGAGAAGTTACAATATTATTATATATAACATATTAGTGAGAATGGCGACTTCTGAAACAAACGACTTTCATTCGGCGAAACATTAATTATTTACATTTTTCCATTTATTCTGGTAGTTAATTAGGGAACAGAAACATGACGACATGTCGTTAGGAAAACCTAACTTTGACTGAATTCTTAAACAATCGAAGATAGGTATATCGTTATTCCGTCTTTGCGTATTGCAGAGTTATCTTTTCTTGTGAGCAGGTATTGATTGCTATGTCATTTGTTTGTGAGAGTAACGTCATCAATGCTTGAGAAAACAACGTAATTTTTATCACATAAGCCAATGACGTAACAATTAATACCTGCTCACAAGAAAGATAACTCTGCAATACGCAAAGACGGAATACACTTCGTTTATCCAGTATGGATGGACTTCAACAAGCGAACCAAGTACTACTTAAAAATATCACAAAATACTACTGAATTCAGTTTTAAACGAATCATTGCTGACATTCCTATCATGCATCTGAATTTTCAACATTGACATCAACAGGGGAAATAAGTACCATTTGAAAACTACACATACTAACACTTAGTTCTGCTTTTAACGAAAATTAATAGAATTGACGTTATGCCTATATCTTATTTTAAATCACATGGTTACTGGCTTTGTTAAGTATTCCCTCTATCACCCTGTTTTATCCCTTCACTATATAATTTATCCATCCTACTCTTTTTTCTATCTTTTCTTAATCTGCTGGATAACTTAACTACTCGGTAGTGAAGCGGACCACTCAAACAAACAGACGAAGCTCTGCAATATTTCATAATATAACAAATAGGTTTGACAGTGAAGTGGAAAACATATAAGTTAAGTTGATACCGGTTGGGTTGAAAGGTTTGGTGTTATGTCCGTAACCATTGGTGACACCCAGCATTACAGACAAAGTCAGGAGCAGTTGCATTGTAATCATGATCGTTGCTATCTGAAAGAAAAAAATGAAAATGGCAATATAATTACCAATGAAATAGAAGGGGTATTATATAGGAAATAAATGTAGGTAATACAATGTTTTGTGTTTGTGATGGTTACGATATATTTTTAACATCAAAATAGGTCAAAATAAAATAATGTTTTGACATTATTTTAACTCGTAGTTTATTCGCTAATTGGTGACTCTTTAAACGCAAAAAAAAAAAAATCCTTTTGTGTGAAAGCTCTGAAATTTTCGCACATTCAAAAAAGAAAAGCTTCTCTGAGCATATGGTAACGGTATTATCTGTATAAAATTGTTAAAGCGATGATTTGGTAGTAGAATCTCACATTTCATTATTATGGTACTGCTTCGATAACCTGGATATCCCGATAATTTTAGCCACGCTTATTGGCTCCAGTATAAGGTCACGAAAATATGACCTCAACCAGACTGTCTCTGGTATGAATGAAGATAAGGATTTGCTAGTAGTATTGACTTTTTTGGCATTTTTTTATATTTTTTCCTATATTATAAATAACCTATTTTGAAATATTGTATTTTCTTTGTCTGCGTTTTCTTGGATTTCATTACATTTTTTTTAAATGCTGTTAAATATCAATTAATATCATGGCTAAATATTGAACTATGTACGTTATAACATTCTTGCGATGGTATTTTTTTTACATGTAAATATTTAAGATGTAATTAAGTAAGTTTAAGTACGGCCTGGAAGAAATAACGCATTAATACGGGAAAAAATTGATATGGATCTGATAATATACAAATATAATGAACCAGGGAAAAATACTAACACAAATTGTAAAGTAGCACACATCACCGTGACACCATTCGCGTCTCATTTCAATGAATAAAAGAACCATTATCGTTATGCAAATCATTTTTAATTTTTTCACACGGCACAGTTATTGATGGAATGTTCTATGACACCATCAATGAAGAAGACAAAAAATACTATTACAATTCATTCAATTATGCATTGTAGCTGTCTCCATGCTAAATGTTTCCCATATTAATTGCCTAATTATATTTTAAAATGCGCGTTTTAATTGATAATGACAAGGAGTGGATGTAATGAATTAAAGCAATAGCTAACGTTATCAATATTAATCTTGTATATATATTATACCTGATCGATTGTGATGAATCAGCATTTTTTACATTTTTTATTCGGCGAAGAAAATCGCAATGGAATTACTTATTAAAACATATTACAACGCCAATGAGCACTTAGAATTACGTGAAACGAAGAAAAAAGTGTGCTTAAAAAAGGAAATCCGCATGTTTGTCACATAACCAAATGTTCCAAAAAATCTCTAATCGGTGCTTAATATAAATTCAAAATACAGTGTGATTTCATAGAAAAATTAACAGAAAAGTCGAGCAAATATTATATAACTGTTTTCACTTCACCAGGCACATTTGTTTTCAACACTCGAGGAAATGACATATTTTGTTTCCGTGTATGTTATTTGTCGTTACATTAACTATTAGTATGTCCCATGGAGCAATCAAACCATATGTGGGTGTTTGTTATGGAAAATAGAGCGACTGCTCTCCGTGAGTTCAACATTTGTTGGTATATATAAAGACTATTTTCAAAAGACTGTCTGATATATTGATTTATATCTAAAACTGTTTTCAAACTTGAGAGACAATTCTAAATGCTAAATTCTTACATACAAGGCTTCATACAGACTCAACTAAAGATTATTTTATATTTCATTCGGAAGATCCTCAGCCTCCAGATAAGATGCTCCCTTTTCGACCCATAGCAGAGACATTGCAAAATATAATAACATTTGTAAGATTTGCCCCAACAGACGGACGAGGGAAAGAGTTACGAGACCAAACCAGTGATACGCTCACATGACCCCTGGATAACTCGGGATGAGTTATTTTTTGAAAGCGAGAATGCCACCCTGGTCAAGTTGATTGGTAATAATAAAAAAAATATATACAACATTTGATATAGCGCCCTATCTAGCTAGCATAAGCCACTCTAAAGCGCTTTACAGTAAATATGTATACTATTAATACAATTAGGATATAAATTGTTGGGGAATTCGCAGAAGCTGCCTTATCAGGCGCTAACTACAAGTCCTATATCACCTGGCTAATATCTCCCTATGTGTGTATGCCTGCATGTGTACTGGAGATGTATTGTGTTCTGTTTGTAGAGCAGTTCTGTCTTGGTAGATCGTCAGAATTATAAACGATAGGCCCTGGAAGCATTAGAAACAGGAACAATATGCTATTATTTGACGCCCACGTAAGGAGCAGGAAGCTTGTTATAACAAATAGAAACGCTTGTGACAAACATTACATGATTTCCTACTCTGATGCCTGCTTCGTTGCCCCTGTTGATGCACATTTTTAACTATCGACGAGTCTTTAACGTGAGCTACGTCATAGTCTGAAGTGTCTAATCCCTATTCACATTACCTTAGATTATCCATGGCCTGTTTCATTTCCTGAATTTGACAGAAGACATGATGTAAGTTTAATTCGATTCAGGAAATGGTTAACCTGTCGAAGGATGTTACTTCATGTATTACTTTTTTTCTCATGGTTTCGGCACCTTTATGTTTCGTTTACTGACTTTAAAGTCTAATTTAACCTTTGTGTTTTGACAATAGCGTTCATTATTACCCTATTTTGCTTGCAATGCAATGCAGGCCAATTGTTGGCTTATTTGATGAATCTTTCAATTAATGTATGAACAAAAACATTTTTAAAATATCTTTATATATTATTTTGTATGTTATTATTCATATTATGCAAATTGATTCGATCTACTTCGCACATGAACGATGTCAAAATGTCAATGAACTGACAGTTTGCTCGAACAGTTCCTTGATGTATCCATATTCATATCACACTCATCATTTACATATTAATACATATTCTTTATTAAATATCCTAAATGTAAAAATAGGCTACAGTATCTTCATCAATGACATGTATATGATCTTTTCTAAATAAGATCAATACTGCAATTTATTTTATCCTGATTATGTAACATACCAAAGCGATTTGGTTTAGTTTCTTACATACAGTATTTGACATCCTATTTACAGCAATGGTCATTTACGTATGTGCCAGATGTCGATGGGATGGGAAAACTGGAGTGACCGGAACAAATACCGACCTATAACTCATACCTGGCGACTGTCCTACGAAGGTCTCGAACCCGCGAACCCCAGTGGTGTATGGCTAGTGATCGGTCCTTAACAAAGCTTTCATAAGTGGATGGTGTATATATTTAATGTCAACCAACCATTGTTTCTAATATTTCTATTCATAATTTATTTTTCATCAGTTAGGTTTTCCTTAATCCAACTGCTCGTCATTCAGGATGCGGAAGTGATAAAACCGGATATAAGCAATATCTATTTAGTCAGTTTCAGGCGGTAGCCGCCCAACGTATACTTAACGCACACTTCTACCTAAGGTCCGCATCTATAAGTACTTTAATTTTTCAGACTTTTATATTCCACATCTTTGAATAATGTTTAAACTGACAAAAGTTTTGTAATATGTTAATAAGACTTGTTTCAAAATTGTTGTAAGATAATTCAGGTGTCAGAATGATGCGTCTTTTATATGAAATGTATTGAACCAATATTGCACATGCAAATAAATTGCACATTTATAAAATAATAGATTGTGTCTGATCTAATGAATAATATGAATGAAAATCATAATGATATCTTACCTGTCTTGGACGTCTTCGTACAGATAATCAAACCCTGATTTCAAATACAAGTATCCGACCATTCCAGCATAACCAACTGCGCTTCACTCAACATGGCGTCTATAACGCATATCACGTGACCGTTAATGTCAATCTGTAAATCAAATTTTATCAGTCTCATGTACATTATCCTTGCTAATTAGAATAGTATATATATATATTACCATTATAAACGTCTCCGTTTATGTTTTATCCATCGATGAGAAATATTTCTATTTAATTATTTAACCTAATAAATAAGAAGTGTTAAGTAAGTTATGATTTCGACAATTAATATAAAATAATCATGGTGACTTAGTTTGCTATTTTATTTCATTAATAAGAATGCAAAAAAATATTGTTTATTAATTTAGCTTAATTTTTGCTATTATGAAGCCATTATTTTCTAGGTTATCGTGTCTTTGTGCAAAGAATTATGATGCATTCCCTTTTGCTTTAGTGCCTTTTCGGTCCCATGTGTGTAATTTCGTATTGTTATTAAGTCCTTGTGATCCGTTCTTGTGTTTTCATCAAAGTATCTTTTATTTTGTTTACATTTCCGTATATTTTCCTAAAATATTGTTTTATTTTGCACGATTAAAACACAGGTTTTCATCCTTTTAACAATTAGTATTACTGACAACGAAATGAAAATAGCTTTAATTAATCTGAACCTTAACAAAAGTAAAATATATGAAATACCACGAAAACTGTGTTTGAGATAACAATATCACAGCTCCAGAGCGGATTCAAAAGCTACATCTCCGACTAAATAGGTCACTGTAAACTAGTTATCTGATTACCATACGTTCATTGACCCATTTCCGCTGGGATTGCATTTAAAAAAGTGCTGAGGGAGAGAATACTGTATGACAAATTAACTTCAGTGGAATTGTTAAGAGTTTTGTATGCAGTGCCAAATTAATTCACTAGTACCTTTTTATTTCCTTAGCCAGGTTTATAAAACAAAGAAATATGCATTGCTTTGTTGTCATATGCGTTCTCCTGATTGTTTTGATAACATCGAAGTGGACGATTTAATCACTTACGCGAGATCATTTATGTGGTATGAAAGACCACCAAAACCCTCTCTCTGTGGGACTATTAATATTTCAGCTATAATAAAAAAAAACATTTGAGCAGTGCTATACAGCTATATAACCGTCCATAATGCCCGCATTGTCAATAATATTCTAGAAACACTAATAGTGTTATTGTCGTTAAGGAACGCATCTACCTCCTCCGTGAACCCGTGTACCCATTAACCCTGACGTAAAACAGACCGAAAACCGTTAAGATCTTTTACATATATCGTACATGGCCAGCGGAGAGTTCCAAACTTACACCGAAATGATTGATTCGTCTAGCTATATATCTGAAATGGATTGTATTTTTTTTATCCATACTCCATTGCCACAACTTCATTAATATGTGATGTACACGGACGGAGTCATGGTAGCATTCAGTAAGTGTTTTGTACATGAGCAAGTTCTGGTCACACTGATGACGTCTGTTGTCGTTAAGGAACTTAGCTACCTCCCCCGTGACCACGTCACCCCATAAACCCTTACCTACAACAGACCGAAAACAGTTAGATTTTTTTACATGGTCATCATACACCGAAATGATTACTGATGTCTGCGTCCAGCCATGTATCTGAAATGGGTTGCAATTTCTGTCCATACTCCAATGTCCATGTGATGTGACGATCAGAAGATCAGAATTATGGTATCATTTGGTCAGTGTTTTGTAAACCAGTCAGTTTGGTATACCTTGTCATTTCTGCAAAAGGTAACATGTAAGCGATCAAAAAAGGCAAAACCTTATGATGTACATCTCTTATCAAGCAGTAACTCCCAGCCGTGCCAGCGACCAGACTTTTCATCAAGATGAACTATAGAAGGACGGACACGAATGTTTTTCCCCATGTGTCATTGCCAATGAGTAGTTGACCGGCATTGTCGCAACGAAGAACAAACTGGATCAATCATCTACAATTTAGCCATTCATATGGCATATATGAGCAAAAAAGGGAAATGTTTTTTTCCTGAACATATTAGTTTCCTGTCTTCTCTGCTCTGATGTATATACATGACCCTTCCAGAACACCAATATATAGTTCACTGCTATCATTTTTGATATCGTAATGTAACTAGAACGAAGAAAAAACAAGATCGTGAGTCGGTTGTAAGGAGCTGAAGCAAAGCTAGGACTGTGATAACTGACCCCCTTACCGCACACAATCCATAACTGTGATTAATTTACTAAATGAAATTTGAAAATTGCTAAAGTACAAATATAATCACCAGTAAAGTATAAATCACCAATAAAGTATTTCCTATTTGCGTATTGCAGAGTTATCTTCTCTTGAGAGCTTGTATTAATTGTTCCGTCATTGGTTTGTGTGAGAAAATTACGTCATTTTCTCAAAAAATGATGACTTTACTCTCACAAACAAATGACGTAACATTCAATACCTGCTCTCAAGAGAAGATAACTCTGCAATACGCAAGACGGAATTCACCAACACACGTCAATCTCATCCTGTTATTTTTTAATTTCGTTGATTTTGTTTGCAGTTTGCAACCCACAGATCATTCTCGATATTCAGGGGTTATATTTACTTTCGCTCTATGCATCCCTGGGATATGTCAAAGCAAAATTGAAGACTCAGTGTGCGCCACCTTGTGGATGAGACAAGAAGAATATTTTGATCCGTTGATGTACATCAACAAGCTCTCTCGGTCTCGAAAAGGTAAAACTTATTGGCTTTGAAGTTGGGCGTCGCTCCTGAGTCATCTTCAAAGGACAGGTACCAGCCTTGTGTTTGGTCAGGTTTTGTAACCTGAGACCAATCAAAAGGCTAGCCATGTGCGTCAATTTTTCTATGACATATTCCAGGGGTGTAGGAAATGAACGTGAGCGTAAGCCCTGGATATCGCGAATGTCCACTGATATATGATTTATAAATGTAATTGTATGAGGTAAATCATAACATTGCATCAGTCATAATCGGTAAGCCTTCCATATTAGAGTTTTTTCGACTTTGGATATGCTTATTACTGCCTATAATCAGCGATTTTTTCTATTCATACATACCGGGGATAATGTATACCGTTACTTTTTCGCCCAGTCAAACTTTCGCCTACTCAAACTTTCGCCTACTCAAACTTTCGTCCAGTAAAACGTTCGCCTAGTCAAACTTTCGCCCTTCGTCGATGAAGTCGATTTTCACCCAGTGTCCATTTCTCATAATATACTAGTAATTAAATGTGATGGGCGAAAATCGATATCGTGGGCGAAGGGCGAAAATTTGACAAAACAAACATTTACAGTATCCCCGTCAAAAGAGATATGTTTTACAATATTCAGTATTTCATAATTCAAATCCCTTTGCGTGCAGTTGTATTAATTTGTTGACGTTTTTCTGTCATGCACATTTAAGTAAATGTAAGTATATAATAAACACGTTTTAAAACTAAAAATATTAGCCATTGTAATATTTGACACGACGTCATAATATAAATCTTCATCCTGTTATTACAATAACTGGCGTGCTATGGATAGTAGTTACAGTCATTTCTGAAGGACCGTTGTTATTGGAATAAATCTATATTACACAAATTCATCATACAATAGCACAAACGATTTGCTTAATATTGTAGATATGTCTGACATTTCACATTTTCCAAAAATATCGTTTTAAAGGAGAATGGAGGGGGGGGGGGGCGGGGGCGTTGTTCTTTTACACATTTTTCTAAGAATAATGAAACCAAAATTCTCATTTAAATTCATTACATGCATGCATGTTAAATAAAACTCTCAAACAATTATTTATAAATGTTTTGGGAGGAAGTTTATTAGAAAATATAATAAATTGTATTAGTACCTTTATACACAACGATTAATAAATTAATATACAAAGTCTCCTTATTCTGAACAAAATATTTTATTTATTTGACATTTCATTAGAACGTCATCCCCGAGACATATTTTTGCATAAATTACATTATGATAATTCAGTAAAGCATACATATATATTATCAGAGCCAATTTTGAGACATCTTGCAAACAAAACGTATACATTCTTGTCAAAAATTATATAAATCAATGTTTTGACATTTGGCGCAAAGTATTCTAACTACAACTTCCCCTCTCAAAAGATTGATCCTGCGGATTAAGAAATATGTAAACATCATTTTACCCCTATGTATTAAACCATATTTCTCACATGCGTAGTGTATCATAATATGATATAATCTGATTGCGTTTGGTACTATATTCGCAAATCAGCATCACACATTTTCTGTCTTAGGTGTAGATATTTTGTTTCTTGTCTCAACATTAGCACTTATCAATCAAATAAGCCGATGAAATACCATGGCAATAGATATTGGTTCGACAAAATTAACAAAAAAAAAAATCAAAAAACATCTTGCTTTTATTTTTTTACTCCCACTTATAAGTATTTATCGAAAAACATCGATAAATCTTCGATTATTGAGGAAGATAAAAGAAACACCAACTTTTCTTCGAATGTTAGAGAGTTGCCAAAAATCACCATACGAAAATATTTAATGACGAAAACTATTACTAAATTCAATCATTTATGAATTCATATAAAACGATAGATAGGTCTTTTTTAAGTGAGAACATACATGAGGTGCTATATAAATGTACATATCAGTTGTGTTCGAATCTGTTGTGTGTCGTCGTAATTGCTTTATTGAAACCGTATAAATACGATATCAAATAGCTATACGTATATTGTGGCGTTTCTCAAAGTCAATATAGGTTAGAAATGTTTATTATATACAAGTGACGCATACAACACAACAGTTCATGAACAATGTTCAAATGTTTGTATGATGATGTACACGCCAAACAGCGACAGGAGTGACGTCCCCTAGCATGCGTCCCTCCCTCCAGTGAGATGTGGTGAACTGTAACATATAGAATATTGTTTAACAATCAGCGCACACATACAATGTACAGACATCCGAAAATATTAACGCTAACGAGAGTAAATTTACATACAGTTCGCTTGGGATTATTCAAATGTTTTACAATTACAGGAGATTATAATACATAACTTCATATTGCTTTAGTTTTTTCATTATTGATTCAAAATGTACTGTCGTGCCTCGAAAGCGCAATATTCGATAGAATTTTTCGTGCATACCTTACAAATAGTGGAATTTCAGCATGTTTTTCTTCTGTTTATAAGAAATTGATGCTGTCGGCATCCTCTGTAATGAGAAACAATAAAACAAAATGTAATGTAAACATTTAACATAGGATTGATGAGGTAAAACAAATAATAATTAGGATTAAAAACATTATATATTATATAACCCATTCCAAATAATTTGTCATTGCCATCAGTGTTAAAGGTGGTTTTTTTTGTATAACTGACCATTGCCCAATTCTCATCCACTATTGTCCGATTCTGTCCTCGCACCTTCTTAACTTTAAAAGTTTGACGCTGTGCATTCCTAATAAGATCTTTAATTTTTGTTTATAAATGATAGATAAATAAATAGAATAAGATTATCAAAAAAATGGACGCACTGCGCAAACTTTTAGTGATCAAATTTAAGGGTATATCTGAAATGCGATATCCACTTAATCTGTTTGTCGTAAAAGCTTGCGTACTTCCCGTGACTTTGAATAACACACTGGTGTAAACATATAGAGTATTTTTTATTTATTTTTTATTTATTTTTTAACTAATTTGCAATCAAGATTCAAAATAAACAATTGGACTGCCCCTTTTTTTATCAATTTCCCGCTTAACTAGGTTGTTATAAAACGGCAAATTAGGAAGAGAATCCATATTTTTCTTTTACATGTTAGTCAGTTGTTAATTTTGTAGTCAATATATACACTAAATTTTATGTGTTTTTTATAAAAAAAAATTAAAAAAATGACCCAACAAATTAAGAAACTGTTTTATCTTGGATAAATTGTAGTAATCATCTTACTTACCAAAAAGGCCTGCTCTTGCAGCCACTGTAATAGATACAAATACAAATATTGACAATGGCGCAAAACGTATATGAATGTGTTATTTAAGGCTTATATTTTGAATCGAATTTATTACTATGGGTCAAGTATACTTTAGAAACACATTTTATGATATACCAACATCATTTGCATCCTTTATTAATTGAGTCAGTGAATGAAATAGTTAAATATGACTGTTTTAATCGGTTTAACTTATTTCTTCAACAAATAATTTTCATACGTGTTAGACATTTAAAAAGGAAGTGCAGTAACATGTTATTAGCTAAATGATGAACACATTTTGTATCTGTTTTTGTTTTGTTACTACTATTTTTTTCAAAGCAAATACTTATTCTTGTAAACCCTTAAGTGCAATGTATTAGAACAAAACGTTATTGACACACGGTAAAAATACTTTTTTAAATGCATTGTTATTATAGAGACATACAGCTAATGTCATTGTGCAGTCGCATTAAATCAAGGAAAACACTGCATGAATGAAGTATTTAACTTACATCGTAAATCTGTGCCCCGTGGAACTGTTACTGTAACATAAAACAATACAAATAAAAATATGAATGAATGATCTGGCATACATTTATATTATATCGAACATATGTGTTTCCTGCAAGACACAACAGCAAGAATTTGTGACACACCGAAAAAAAGACATCATGAATCATAATAAATATATATAGTGGCGAAATATGAAACTCTTTGAAATTGTCGTTCAAAGAGGTTATTTACATTAGATATATAAAGCGGTAATCAAAATTAATTAGCAATGTGATCAATATAGGAATGACATTAAAGCATAAAAATAATGCAAAAAACTTGTACTTGTACTACAAATAATACATTTATTGTGTGGATATTTTGGATTTAAGTTATAGTATTAATCAATTAATGACCCACTATACCCCTAGCACGGCGTTTACTTACTATGATCAGAATCACCGCCTGTATTAACAGAGAAATAAATTGGTGTTACTACGATTAGTACAACTATGTATTTCGTTAGAAATACCAATACGTATCATCTTATGCTTAACATTATATTAAAGAAATATGTCTGCGTGTTTTATTATATTTACAAATAGCGATCTGTTACAGTTTTAATACGTATGCAAGTGTATCCATTTGTATATCGTTTCATTGAATTGATAGATCATCCTTAATGCAATGAAAGGCTATTTGATATAACTACAGATTACCGTCCTTTTTACTATTTAGTATTGTTTGCAAGATTCGTTAAAAGTTTATCTTTCGCAATTGCATTTACAGTTGAATTTATTTCACGAGTCGTACATCGGGTTTAACCTATAATTATATGGCTTTTTTCTTGTAGTGTTTATGGAACGCTTGTGAGATTTCATCAATCATCACATATCTTTTTTTTAGATAAGTGACGTCATAATTTATAATGATAGCATACATATGATGTCATAGCCCACCATAATTGTAATAAACTATGGACATCTTGACAAGAAGCATTTGTTTTCTTAAGTGACGTCACATTGTGAATAGAAATCTGTAAAGTTAATATAGAAACTGGTAGATACCAAGATACCACAGACACAGGGTTTGTTCGTTATGTGCCTCTAATGATGAAAAAGACAAAAAAATATTTTGTTCTTAAATATCCATTTCATTCTAATTTAAACAGTTCATTTATTAAACCTTTCTATATCAGAAATACAAGTATGTTTACATTTATTAAGTTGTTATCAACAAAAAATAAATAGCTAATAAGGCGAAAAATGTAAGAATAGCTAGTAGAAGATGACAAAATGTACTGAATTAAGTATCTAGTACTTGTCAATAATATATTAATATGTCTGTATCACCAAATATCATTTTATTTTCAATTACATTATTTTAGCAGTGCAAGATATCTCTCTACTCCTCTAGGACGTGATGTGTATGTGTGTTGTTGTTTAATTGTTTACTTTATGTTGGAATGTATATATGCACAATTGATGAGCTGTTAAACTTAGGGAAATAGTTAAATTTGAACGTGTAATGCCATACACTTATCCTAGTTAAGATATATAACACATTAATATGAACATACAGGCAATCACGTTCCTCTTGATGGTGTTGTTGGGTATTTATAAGGCAATTACTATGACAATGACGAAAGAGTGTCTTTGATAATTCAATCACTACATTCTTACCTTAGAATTAGTATTTAATCGGTGCAATAAGCCTGAATCTACATGCTTCACTAATTTAAGCTATGTCATAATGAGTTTAATTTTTTTTTTAATTAGTTTTGTCTAAATTTTATATTTAATTTTTGAAATGTTCATCATCTAGCGTTTTTGGAGATAAAATTAATGTCAGAAAAATGTAGCATATGTACATATGTATAAAAGTTTAAACGACCTGCGCTCAACATATTAACATTTACCGTATCCACCGAGACCTCCGATCCTGCTGATGCCACCAATGCTACCTAAGCCACCGAGGCCACCAATGCTTCCTAGGCCACTGAGGCTACCAATACTGCTTCCGTACTCTAATGAAGCTGTAAAGAAACATATCAAAATGTATGCAAAAGGAAGTTTAAACAGTACGTGCATTTTGTAGAAATATAAGTGAAAAATGTCTATTATCAGTTATATCACTATATCATTTGAAACAGTGACAAACCATGCTAATCGATTTAATCATGACTTGCGTGGTTTTTTTACAGATTTAAGGCGGTCTTTTTTCTTTTGCATTATATTCAATTGCAATGCATGTTTCACAGTACAGCCCTGCTTGTTTCTTGTCTCCTGCACAAGCACGCTTACACTTCACACATAGAGGCATGTCCGTAATGACCTTAGCTGTTAATAGGACGTTAAACAAAATTAAACCAAACCAAACTAAACCCTATTTGTAAAGCTGCAAAGATTCAAAACAGACTATAGGTCACCAGAAAAGGGAAATGACGTTCTAGGTACTTATTCAGTTCTAGTACGAAATTTAAAGTTGATATAGAAAGTAAACTATAGAGTCAACGAACAAGAGACTATATTTTGCGTTCAATGATTTCATTTTAACATTAATGATACATTAATTGGCACAGTTTCCAAATAACACGCTTTTTTTAAAAACCCTCGTTGTACATATTTTGAGGCGGTTATAATCATTCATTTAATACAAACATAAGGAGTCATACTTTAAATGTCTAAACATATTCTTCGGGTAATTATGAATTATGAAAAGATTCTTGTAACACAACCAATAAGTGTTTTTTATTTGACGTTTCGATGTCTAGTACGGCATGTACTATGTCACATTCGTCAGACAAATGGCCAATGAAGCGTATGTACCCAAAGGTGTAAGATGCGTACCAGTTGTCCCCACATCGATGTCGATTCGTCTTCGCCGTAAGCATATGTACAATAAGTTGTTATACATGTACCGAAACTACGCTTTGTGACAGAGTACATACCGTATGAGTCATCGAATCGTCATAGCAAAAACACCTATTGGTGGTGTTACATATTTTTTTTCTATAATTCATAGTTGAAATAGGAAACGACTAGTAAATCAACGTGTTGTGTGAAGAGATTATCTACTACTTACGATAATCCATGTCGCCAGTTCCTGAAAATCACACAAAAAAGGTTAATGAGGTTATATCATCTGTGAAACTATTATTTTTTTAAAAGATCAATTCCAAGGCTAATTAAGAAAACGTCATAATACATAGAGGGTGAAAATGAAATACAAACAGCTGGTTCCAGAAATACATTGCAGTAATTTACATTAAATGGGTTTCAAAACGCTGTGTGTGATGGTAGGCAACATTTCCGAGGTAGATGTTTTACATATGAAATGTTAATATGAATACATATAAATGAAGATTGAATGTATGATTTAGCTCAGAAATCTACTTACCAAGGACAACGATGTTGTTTCCCCTTCTTTGTCCTGAGCTGAGTCCTATTAATGATAAAAAAAAAAATGTTTTTCTTATTTTTTTAAATCAAGACATTTAATGATCTTGTAATCACAATTACTATTAAAATCATTAGCAAAAGAAATAACCCTTGATAAATTGAACTGCATCGAACAGTGAGATGCGTTTAGAGAAAGGACTATATCGAAACCCTGTACAGGAAGCTGTTGATATTATGTCATTCATCGCATTTTCCACTTCGCCTATTACTAACATTTATTGGAAAACACTGTTTTTGTCCACTTTTCTATATCTACCTTTTGGTTTCTGTGAAAAAATGAAGAGTATATATAGGAATTATGAAGAAAAAGAAAAAGGGGTACTTGGAAATAAGTTGACGGTATGCGAGGTAGCGAATAACAAAGAGATTCATCATACATGTGTCAAGGTTTTTTTTCTGTCTATACCATTTAAAATATCTTGTCTATGATTCCGCATTAATTAGACATCAAAGAGAAACATTTCATTCTAGATGCTACACTTACGTGGCCGAATGCTTCGACGACCAAGTCCTAGGCCAAGATTTGAGAGTGCAGACAAACTTGACATTCTTCTGTCACTGCCTCCGAAACCGATATTGACCGTATCGGCGTCATGCATTGCTGTTTAAATAAATCATTGCGTTAATTTGTTGTGTCATTTTTAAAATGGCTAAATGCAAGATTGTTTATACTAAATAACTCAAATATTATTAGCTGATTTTATTCTCAATACATTACTTTTCTTATGAAAAATCAGTTTGAAATTATCCGTTGAGTGGACAACATGCATTTAGGAAGAACTACCATATCACAACATAACCATTAGATCAGAAGAAATTCCGAAACAAAGAAAACATGAGTATCCGAAATTGTATCTATCATGTGCTGAATCATAATAACGTCAATATAATGCATCTTTCATACATCATAGAATAAGTAAAATGTTCCCCATCGATGTCACTTACCTGATGATAGAATAGCTTGTCTAGGTGAATATAATGCATCTGCAAGAAATATTGTTTGACTCATGTTATAACAAAGTTAATAAGGAGAAGAAAACATTGTTTATTTGCTACAAACTCGACCGTGTCCTGTTGCGTAACCAAATGTCCTCGAGGAGAACTTAGACACCAGATGTTTTATTGAATTGATTCATAGAAATAAAGCTACGTTTTTCATTAAAAAAAACCCTTCTATTTTTATCCTTGTTTTTTATGTATTTGTCAATATCTATTAAACGTGCATTATGGAAACAATAATTTCTGATGATATACTGTTTTTCATAGGACTGATAATAAAAATGTACTTACGTCTCGATCCAAATACTAAAGCTGCAACGAAATAAGGAGCACATATCAGTCAATTTGGGAACAAAAAATGCATTGGTTGTCATTAATCTAGCATTCGTTTTCATTTCCCTTTTTCTTTAATTTGATTTGTATTTTTTTTTAAATGAATAGACTTATCGAAAAACATCATACTCATTCAAGTATGATTACAAAATATACAACTTTTTGACTAGTATCCGAGGAGGTACAATGAAATGAGTAAATCTGCTGTTAAATCTTGTTTGTACAATGTGGCTAATTTCCCGTGTCTTTTAAAATAAAAAAAACCCATCTGATTCACTGATTGCTAGAGAAGTACTTTTGTGTTAACAGTTTTCCCTTTTTTTTTTTTTTTTTTTTTTACAAATGGTTATCAATCTATGTGTTTCTTTTTTTGGAACACGTGCTGTTTATTCCTTTTCTATTGTGTGACCCCCTTATGCCCATTTCTTTGCTTTACACCTTCAACAGAGAGTGGCATATTGATATTGAAATGTTACCCATTTCTATCATGACTGCTCAGTAAGGAAAATGAAGACACCTTTGAGATTGTGTTATAGTTAACTTAAGTGATGGACAATGCGGAATACATTTGGGTTTGGAGCTACACACGTTGGGTTGTGTATGTGGGATTTTGGCTACACGCAGATCGGAGGTGTGTGGCGTTGAGGGTAACATGAGGGCTGGATATGTTTTGCATATCAGCTACAAGGCGAAATTCTGTGGTTAGCGTTGGGGGGCTGCTTGATGATTATTGTATACTATTTACCATCTCTGGTAGTCACGATTTGTCTTGCAAACAGTAATATTCGTCAGCCATCATCCATCGTAAATTTGAATTGTGCCACAGATACCATCCATCGTAAGACTGCGAGTGTTTGACAGACAATATATGTCATGCAATTAAGAGTGACCAAAAGTCACGAATCTTCGTGAGAAGACTTGGAAGGAATACACAAGGTGATGAGATCACTATTGGTGTTTATCAGTCTATGATCATAAAAATAGAGCAGCCACAGACCTCGTGGCTTTGTATAAGGTGTACAGGAGCTCACAGGAAAAGCCAACAATTGTATTCTCTAACATAAGATCGGTCTCACTACCAGACGGTTTTCCCATAAAATAGACCATGATAGTAAATGTCGATGACACCATGGAGGCAAACACGTATAGCTGAAGTAATGTCTTTATAGGACAGCTATTGACAGGCTAGTGATTGTTACCTGAAAATACCTGGCGACAACAGATATACACCTGGCGTCATGTATCAATCTTATACACCTATATATAGTAAGCGCATGACAGGAATTCCTTAAACAGTTCAATGATTAGATAGTTTCCACAGGCTCCCATCTTTTACGACTATCTTAACAAACGGTTTCTTTTACATATGTGAGACTAAGTCACGTTAGTACTGATACATTCACACTCGGGACCTGGATTTCGAAGAAGCATTATGTTGGACTCAGAATTCGTACCACTTTTTTTCTTCTTTCAAATTTCGGTTTGCTTTAGTTCCCTTTTAAGACAAACGCTTAATATAATGATATGTTTGTTTATAGCTCTATACAAATATATTAGATTAAACCCCATAAACAAGAGAAAAGAAGCGCACAGAAATTAAAACAGAATCAAATTAACAAGAATACAAAGTGCAGTGGATTAGAAAATACCAAATGATCGACATACAAATACTTCCAAAAAATTAAATGATGTTGTGCATGAAAATAGTAAGAATCTCGTTTAACCCTGTCGTCTTAAAAGGCACGGTAGACTTGTGGTAAGACTTCGGGCTCGTACCCAAAGGGTCTCGAGCTCGAGTCCCGTCGTTGCACCGCGTTGTATCCTTGAACAAGATATTTCACCCCGCTTGTTTCAGTCTACTCAGCTGTAAATGAGTACGGGGTTGGGCAGTACTGCATCTGTTGAATGCTAGCGGTGAGCGCCTAAATGGCAGCACCGGCTGTATTCTCGTCAGGGAGTAAACAAAATATTGGCTGTTTGCAAAAGGTCCAATAACAAGGGATTCCTTATGTGTGAACCGCTATGAGAAGACCTAGATTGTAATAAAGCGGTTTTTAAAAACCTCTAATTATTATAATTATTATTATACGTCACCCATTCCAATCAGGGCGGGATGTGTGTTTTATGCCAGCAATACACGCCTAAGTGAACATGTCAATGCGATGGCGTTGGAATTCAAGGATAAACGGATTGTGTTACACATACGTTTAGTCATATCGACAGACTGCGTGTAAACATTTTATGTCGCAGAAATGATCTTTATGGGGCATCAATGATTAATTTAGACGTCTGCGTCATCGATATCAAAGGAAAGCAATTACTAGAAAAACCTACATGTCATTGAACCAGGTAACGCCCTGTGCGACATACCTTACTCGTATCAGTAAAATACAGTTTACTTATTCTTCAACAGATACATCAAGAAAATAATAAAAAAATACTTCGGTTAGGATAAAGAAAATTATGTTACTGTGCAGATTAAATATTGCAAGGAGTATTTCATTTACAGCTACGAATATAAATTTTGACGCAAAAAAACCCACTTGAAAGTGGAATGAACATACTGTGTATGAGTTCCCCCCTTCGTGGTGACAAATCCCCATGGAGAGAAACGGTCGCAATATTGATTTTTCGTGATAACAAAAAATGTTTGTATGTGGTCCCTTTTTCAGATAATAAAATAGTACAAATTACCAAAGTTTATTCAAATTTGCAAATTATAAAACTGATAAATCTTTGTTTTGTTAGCAAATAAGAAGTCACACATGTGACATGATAATGACGTCATACGATTAAATCATGAAGCAGAGGTAGAGTTTTTCCGGTATTATGTGTGCATGTTAATCTGTCAAAGTGAGTATATAAGACAATGTTGTAACACAAAAATATTTCAATACAGTTTGATTTACAGTCATACATGCCAACCTCACTGTTGTATGTATAATTTGAAGAGATATTGCAGTGAGTCGATAAATATGATAACACGGATATTCATAATGCTTTTGAATAATAATACAGATTGACTGGAAAAACTGATGTTACCGATATCGAAGATAAATGTTTTTTAATTAATATCTAACGATGTATTGGCACAAAAATAGATTTAACATCAATATTATACAAACATTAAGAGGGACTGTATAGTTTGGTTATATCTGCTCATATGTAAGTTAACAGGTTTTCAACAATGGGAATATGTAAAATTAAAATGAGAGATTAAAAATGAAAAAGTGTCTTACCTTCAACATTTGCGGCAACTACAAGGAAATCGAAAAACCAAGACTTTAACATCAATGTGGAAATTTAAATTTCTAAAGGAAGGGGATAAGTACTATTTGAGGTCAGCCAACTTAGGAAATATGCAATCAAATGCATAAAGCCATTGACAATAATAAGTCTTTTATATCAAATAATTTATGGTTACGGATTTATAATAATTTATCCATATTCTTTTTTTAACTATTATATAATGTGGTAATGTGAAATCAATTAGAATAAACAGATTTATTATAACTATCAGCGGCTTATCTATTTGATATAATGAATTCCTTAAATATCTAGTTGTTATTTATTACATAATCATAAAGATATGAATAGTTTTATGAAGTCGTACAATGTAAAGGAATATATATGTCATATTAACTAGAAGAATAGATTTCCCCATAAACACATATTTCTGAATTAATCTTTTAAACGTAGAAAAGAAATTTCAAAAACAAATATAAAATGAATAACTATACTATTAATACACAGCTAATATAAAGATACACATTTTCATTATACAATTGCACAATTCACTATTAATTTGAAAATAGATTGAAATATGAATACCGTCTATATAATTGATGGAGACAGAGTATGATTATTAAAATGAATATTCATCAGATTGTATTATATAATATAGTCTTTTGTAACTTTAGACTACATAGTGTACTTACCAAAAATGCAGGAAAACAGGAACAGAAGATTATTCAGAGACATGTTGTAGAAATCACTTAATATGTGGAACACGAAAAGAACTAATGTCTCAGACACTGCACAGAGGGGACAAAAAGACGATTGAACTGAATACATGATAACAACTTCACGTCGTATTTATACCCCGCCGACGAAACACTCTTGTCTGTCATGCTTTTGCAATAAACATATTATCGTTGACAAAAACAATCTAATCAGCTATCCGCGAGACATATATCACCGTTCCTGCAGGTATCAAGGACATGACAGCGCTTGTCACCTACGACACTAAAATGGTGTTATACCGCAAAAACAAACATTGTAATGACATTGATACGTCATCAGAACAATTAGTAACATTATACGAAGTGGCATGAAAATATAGAATCTTAGTACTGTTAGGTACAATGAAATGGATGTTTATGGCATGCATGAACCGTATATATCTATATCAAATATATAAAGCAGCATGCATATGCACTATAGTAAGGTCACTCATTATGTCATACATTACATTTGTATGCAGTTTATACGCCAATAACACTTCACAATGCGTTATATATATACATGATGTTTTATTGAAAATGTGTGTTTATGTTTTACCCTAAGAGACAATGATCCGGTGTTTACCTATGTGTAGTAATTATATCTGAACCTTAATTTACATGCTGCATTACATATTATATACTTAACTTCTGTCTTTTAAATAGTGGATTTTTCCGTGGAATTAGATTGCCTTTAAAAGCATTTACCTTTTCATAGTAACTGGACAATATCATTTCGTTAAGTTTAAAGTAAAATACACTTATGTACGCTTACACAATGTACGATTTTGACATGTTTTTCCTGTGAGTGGTTTACATAGTAACTTTATTATTATCTGTGTTTTGCACAGTGTTAAAACATTTTTCGTATTCATTTTTTTCCTTTTTATTTTATTATAAAGCTATTTAAAGTACAATAGACGAAATCAGTGTTGGCGAAATCATTAAAAAATAAATAAGCTTTCTCCGTTGGAAATTCTTTTTTCATAAACGAAGTTTAAGGTTTAAGAAAAACAAACAAAGGGTAGGTAAAATGAAGGTGACACATCCTTTATATTAATGATAGTGTTGAAATAAGGAATAAATTGAGGAAACATTTATGACGTCATAAAATTCGTATTTTGTGTGTCAAAATGGATGTAATTTAACATGTTGCATGATACGAAAAGAAACATTTGAAAATGTATTGTTAGGTTGAACATAGATATAATCAAATAATATGGCTAATGAGAATGAAAGTGTCACATTCTATTTCATTAACGATAGTTTTGAATTAAGAAATTTATTGAGGAAACATTCTTGACGTCATAAAATTCGTATTTTGTGTGTCAAAATGGGTGTAATTTAACATGTTGCTTAATACGATAAGAAACATTTGCAAATGTGCTGTTAGGTTGAACATAGATATAATGAAATAATATGGTTTATTGTGGCTGGTTTTATACATTTTCTTAGAACAGATGTTTGTATAGAGGTTTGCTGTAACATTCAGAATTACAGTATGTCTTCTGTGTAGTGGTAGAGTTCATAATGTATGTACTTCATTAACGTTGAAAATTACCAGTCCTCTAACTTTTTTTTAACTCATTCAAGTAAGGTGTTCCATACATTTCCCTTTCTGCCTTAACACTATTTTAGACTTTGTCTTTGTTTGGATTTCCACTGTTTGGGCCCTAGAATCACCGAAGATTCCTAGAATGACGTAACAGCTGTACAGTACAGTGCAAATATTTTTTGGTACGGTATTCATTACATAACTACAAATGCGCAGTCACCTGTACGTGTCCTACGTTCCTCGTTGCAGAGATATTTTTATCTATCATCAGGATAATAATATCACATAATCAATAAGACCTGAGGTGAGTACGTCGCTCGTTCAATACGTGTTTGGTTGGACATGCACATCATGCGGAATTTGATACACATTCTGCAGGTGACCCGAAGTGACCCAGCCCATGTCACGATGTTCGGCATCGTATTCATAACGAATTCACACTGCATGTATTGTAAGCTTGATGTGTCCCAGATTGTTTTCATAAGAAATCAAAAATGATAATTACTTGTACATTTTTTATATGTTTAAACATATCTCGAATATGTATTTAATTGAGTTTTTGCTATGCAAGAAACATTAGTTTTAATAATAGTTTTCGAAGTATATAGTGCAGTGGTGTATTGTTAAGCACACAATACTGGTCATAAACGTGACCTTGGGAAGACCTGATACCACTGAAGCTAATTGGACAATACACCAGTGTCCACTGTCCATACGTAGATAGGTTTAGTACACATAAATGAATTTCATAATAGGTATGACGCATACTGACGGAAGTGTATAAACTGTAATAAATCTGTCTGCTCTATTCTGGTTTCCTGTTTCCTGTGTATGTGGGAAGATATATATATATAAATTTAGGATCATGGGTTATCTGTTTTGGGTAGCAAATGTTCATTGTTATGAGCAGTCTCCGCTTTTATTTCAAGCACATTTTCTAATCCTGAAAGTATCATGCATTTATTGTATGTTGTTCATACATTTCTATAGATAGGCGTAATCGATTCAGAAACACATAGAATGTCCATTTACTGGTTTTCATATTAAATGAAGATACCTTATCTATCTTCTTTAAAATATATTTGATATACAGCTCTGATGACGAGCTCGATAAAAATCATCCTGCTTTTTTAATATATTCGCCTAGCTAATGGCATTGAACTGATACGGCAAACTTATTAGTAAACACTCTTCCCTAGGGCTGTGTAATCAATTATTACCGTAGTTTGTGTGATACGTTTTAATAAACTAAATAAATAATTGTTATTGCGTTCATACGTTCATATATAATTTGCCTACACTAAACATGTCTTAATGTAAAACGAGTGTAGGAAAAACAAAATTGAAATGGATTTTTTGTTACGCCGTGGTACAGCCGTTGCCATAAACGAAATTATAGAAATAAAAAAAGATTTCAACAGCTTTGGCTATATAAATACAACGGTTTTTTTAAGTGGTTTTTTTTTCGCACACTGTAGATCTATGAACATATTTTTTAAATGACAGGCTACCGAATTTTGCAAGTTTGGTCAATGAATTGTACAGCTCTTATTGTTTTAGTATTAATAATTAAGTCGACTTTATAAAATAACAAAAAAATCCCGTGTTCTTGAAGTACGATAGTGTGATATTAAATATCAAGTGAAGGACTTGCTCAAAGTGTTCCCGCAACGTGGGAGGGATTGGAGTAATGACCTCATGTATCCCAATGCTTGATTGTATTTTGAGACTTACATTTGAAACCTGGCAGAATAATCACAATAGTAAGCAAAGTTTATCTTGTTGTATTGCATCCTATCATCCAGATATCTAGGAAGGTATTTTTGCAGATGTTAATATGATAAACGTGTACTATTCCTGAAAATTAAAGGTGACTATCACTACGGGACCATTTATGAGGTCAAAGCTGCGATAAACACAATGGTCACATAGCTATGGAATGCAGTATTGGTTTCATAACACTTAAGCGTTCATTGTCTCTACAAACAAAAGTAATCTTGTGATGGTTTGACTTTTAGATCATTGGCATTGCAATTCGATGGTGCTACGGTTCATTAGAACATTCCATTGGAGTGTGTACTGTATACTGAGAAATGTTTCGTCCATGCGTAAAATATTCGCCTTATATCGGTAAAAGTCATGTCCGTTCACTGTTAATGTGGACATTTACATGGTACTACTATATATAGGGTCACTTGTATAACACATCTCAAAGCTGAGGAAAATTAATGTATTGTCTATGGGAAATCTTACACTTGAGGAAATCTCAAGTAATGTATTGTCTATGGGAAATCTTAGACTTGAGTAAATCTGAAGCAATATATTGTCTATGGGAAATCTTAGACTTGAGGAAATCTCAAGTAATGTATTGTCTATGGGAAATCGTAGACTTGAGAAAATATCAAGTAATGTATTGTCTAGACTTGAGGAAATCTCAAGTAATGTGTTGTCTATGGGAAATCTTTGGTTTGAGGAAATCCCAAGCAATATATTGTCCATGAGAAATCTTAGACTTGAGGAAATCTCAAATAATGTATTGTCTGTGGAAAATCGAGGACTTGAGAAAATCTCAGGAGTTGGGATGTTTTATACAAGTGGGTCATGAATGTATATTATCTTTTTACATTTACTATTATGAATTTGTACGCATTGTCTATACTATCTAAGACGTCTGCTGGAACTTACTTTTGTATCAATATTCCATACTAACGTGATACCAAATGTATATCAATGTGTATCGACTTTTAAAAAAGATTAACTTTTTTGCTTATTTTGTTTATGCCAACCCTAAACGTTTTAATCAATTTTCATAGAATCACTGTTCAATTCAAGATCACTCCCCTATTAAAATCACATATTTATAAAAATTAAATTCGTTACCTACCTACTCTCAAATTTTTAAATATGTTACAGGAAAAAAACAATAATATTTGTTGTTTGCCCTCATTTATACCTATTGTCCTTATGGTCAGCAACTAATATAACGTATTGAAACTGAATGTAACATAACAAATCTGAATAGAAACAATTATGGCTAAATGATTGTTTGTTACATTTTATATGATTATATATTTTGTTTCGTCATAGTTTGCCCTGACTCTTAAGCTGACATTCGCTCCATACTTGTGCGTATTAAGCGCAATGACGGTCACCAAAGTGTGGACAAAATACTCATTTATCACGTGTTAGTTTGTGTTAAGGCACGCTACAAAGAGCGAGTTTTAACGTATCGCACGCTCTAGTTTCTGGGACATGTCAAGGACCGTCTCCCACGCAAGGCTCATCAACTGGTGTTTATTTAAGATGAATTGCTTACATATTGTTAGAACTTTATTTGGTGGTTTAAGTATGTTCGCACTGTAAAAAATGCTTGACTGGTTAAAGACGCCTAACGCCTATGAGTCTGTGGGAAATATTATGTTGGTGCTTGCATTGTGTGGTATCTTTGTTTAAATATTTCAAAAGAACTGATTGTTAGTGATTCATAAAGGACACGGC